GGAAGGGACTACACTAGTTTAGGATGGAAGGGACTACACTAGTTTAGGATGGAAGGGACTACACTAGTTTAGGAAGGAAGGGACTACACTAGTTTGGAATGGAAGGGACTACACTAGTTTAGGAGGGAAGGGACTACACTATATAATACACTATAATATATGTGAGATATAAAGATATAAAATATATAATATATGTAATAAAAAGTTTCCTCTCGTGTGTATTATAAAGTCTATTTTCCATTTACTGTTTCGTGAGATAATTATAATTTTCATTTTATCCGGAAGGGAGAACAGTTGTGGATTAATATCTAAGTTAATTATTGTATTATCTACCTGTGATCAACCTGGGAAAAATCTTCATCATTCCAAACCATAACACCCCGACCTAAGCAGATTTAATAAAAGACCGTAATATTAAGTTATCCTCTGGCTATGCCCGATTAGCAACGTTATCCTTAAAAGTTTTGTCGTATCACATCCTTTATTTTATTTTTAAATTATTTATTTACATTAGTGGCTTCTTTGCATAAGTAAGTTACACAGTTAAGAAGAATTAACGTTATCTTCCACATTTTTAATTAGATTATCATTGGTATCGTTGTAAATCGGACATTGCCATGTTTACATGAAAGTTTCTTGAAGTTTACGCTCTTAGTCTCTTTAAAGGAATAGTTCATTAGCATTTTTTGTTAAAATAAATGAGTATTTTTCTTTATTATCATTCTTTAAAACTAAATCTTTGTATGCGTAAAATTTTCAACAAATATAAAATAGATAAAAGATACCTTTTCTATATGGAGCACTTGGCTTTGATGAACTACTTGGATCCATTTCCTCGCCACTCAGCGGTTCTTAATATTGAATTAAAGGGACTATATCAGCATAAATCAAAGAGACCTTCCATTAAAAGAGCTAGCGACATGCCTAATTCACAAGGGTACCCTTTAAACCTTTAACTGATCATTGAGGACAGAGAACTCAGTGAATACATCTCTGTATCGTACTACGTGTGAACTCAACGCAGCTGAAGTTCTATTTATTCTAGAATTTTCGGTGTACAAAAACTCTAATGTAAATATTTATATTCGACCACTTCTAGAAAATAGATATTAATATTCGGCAGACGCTGAACTCCAACCTTTGAGTGTGCGAGGTGGGGAAGACTTCACTACCGCGCTTAATTAAAACCATGATTAAGGGGGGATGACATTTGTAGATCGAGATTGAATCCTAGCCGCAGCGCTCGGCCCAGAAAGTGTCTTAACCTAACCTTACCCTAAATAAAACAAAGTGTCATAACTTCTAGAATATTCTGTGTCCAAACCTATTTTCTAAAATTCTAATGTAAATATTTATATTCGGCCACTTCTAGAAAATAAATATTAATTCAGTATAAAACAGCTTGCAAAAAAGTGTTCAACAATTACAAGAGTTTCTGTAGAAAAATAAGGAAAAGTCTCTCATCCATGATATGTTCAAGGTTTGAAAGGCACGGCAGGGATGCCCCTCTATAAATGGAAGGTCACATTAAATACATTAAATACAGGGTGTAAAAAAACCATTCAGAACAACCCCAACAATAATCTCATATTACATTTTTAGATCAATTTAAATTATAGCTTCCGGCATAATTTTATCAGAAAATTGATCAGAATTTAATAATTCAAAAGTGTAGAATTTTATACAAGATTTTTCTTTAATATCTTGATTAAGTTTCAAAGTTGTATTGTATGCTTTATAAAGTTGTATTGTATGCTTTATAAAGTTGTATTGTATGCTTTATAAAATTGTATTGTATGCTTTATAAGCAGGGTTCCCATATTTCCTTAATCAAGTTGGTTCCGTAAACACCTACAGAACCTTTCCTGAAGCTATTGAAATTTAACAAATTTTCAAAAAATTAACTCCCTAGATGCTACGTGTGACTCGCTATAAATCATTTTTTATGAAATTGATCTTGAATAATAGTTTCTCACACCTGTGCAAGGTAGATTTAGTCTTGTTTCGGTTCAGAAAGGTGTCACCCAAAATTTTCATAAGTGCATCTTCTTTAAAAGACTGTAGGTGTAATTTCATGCGACCTCCCATGGAAAGGTGGCGATGCCCGATTTACAAAGGTACACTTGAAAGCTTTGTCTGACCAAGCATGTATTAGAAATCAATGTTTTGTGTCTTTAAACTGTTTATTTTCATTTGCGGTTTCTCTGCGAAAATGACTGAGGAAATTAACTATTTAAGTTAATCCTTGTTTATAAGAAGCAACGGAGAAACTCGCAGAAATAAACACTTTTCTAGTCAGAGAACAATTGTATCTCCCACATTTTGGATTAGATTAAGGATTCAAGGGTACCGTTGCAAATCAGACATTACCTTCTTTGCATGGAGGGTCACTTGAAATTATGCTTATACAGTCCCTCAAGAGCTTTTGAAAAGGTTTCATAAAGCCTTCACGGATCCAAAATTAATTCGGAGAAAGTTTGAAACCCTACTTTGACTTAAAACATAAAGCCAACACGATGTAATCAATTTGTTGAATCTTTGTGTTGCACAAGGTAATAAAAGGTAAATTAATTAAAACTGAAATATGAAAAACAGCCAAGATTCTTGTTAAGATGCTCTAAAGTAAATTAAAAATGTTTATGTTTAAAACAAACCTAAATCTCCATCTCTAATTACAAGGGAATATATTTTCATGTTTTGATAAGCTTGAGAGAAACAAATTGAGGGGTTAACATCTATGCTCTAAGAAACTTAATAATCCCTTTTCTAAAAAATTCATTTATTTTTCTCTCTCCAAAAATCCCCTTTCAGCGAAAAAAAAACACGTTTATAATTAAAATTCTAAATAATTTTCATCCTTCTTAAATCTTTAGTCAAAAATTATACATAATCTTTTACCCAGAAGAAAAAATAAATCTTTAAATCGTAAAAATAGAAATGTAAATTTAATTCGTCAACAAACACGCACCCCCCTCTCCCTCCGTATATTTATTCAAACCTGTGTTGGGAGAACTATTCTCTATTTTCTCTCCTCCAGAGGAAGATGGAGTTGCAGAGGAGAAAAATCTAAATTTTATTTTCAAAAGTATTGATCCGAAGAAAAGTTTAAAAAAAAACATGATTAATAGAGCAGTAACATAAATTACAGATTTGAACTATCCTCCCCTGAACTATGCTAGAAAATACCTGCTCCTGACTGTTGCTGGAGTAGAGCTGAGGGAAGCATCTCCCAACGTTACTGTTATCCCACTGATATCCAGCGCACCCAGGAACGGAGGGGTTCCTGATCCCCTTGTCGGGGTTATACAGCCTCCTGTAGGAGTAGTTCCTGATATATCTGTCGCACTACCTTGGTAGATTTCATCCTGGGAGACACAACTGTGATACACAGAATCGTCTTCGCTTGATCTGAAAAGATAAATAATAAACCGTGGCAAAGTGCGCACATATGTTCACCAGAGAGAAACTTTTTTAAAAACCTTTTGATCCCAATCTTTTTTTCCAAATTATTCAAAACTAATTATTATTAAAAACGTTTCCCTAAATATTTGCTAAATAATTAATTATTATACCAGAACCCGTAAGAACAAAAAATTATTTTACTAGAAGAGGGGAAGATTAAAATGAAGATTATAAATGTCTTATTTCAGACCTTCTTTTTGTTGCATGTATTACATATTAAAAACTCTTTTTGATACTTGCGCCTGACAAATTGTTTTTTCTCCCAAAAAAATAAATAACAATTTTTGAGCACAATAATGAAAAATACTTGTGGGATAATTAAAAAAATATTAATAAACAAATCTTCTACCTATCATTATCCTTCTTCAGGGGGGAATTCGGCTCGCTGACTAGATCTCCATCTACTCCCTTTAAAAATGGATTTTTTAATCTACATACATACATTTAATACCAAAAGCCAACACTCATCCTTCAGTGAAGTGATAATTATCATTTTTGATTGAGCAAAGCACTCAGTTTTGATAATTAAGAGGGACACTTTCCCTTTTAATCAGAACTATGATGAAATATTCCAAAACTAGAACTTTTCTTTTTTGTGTGAAAAGAAGGAAAAAATGTTGGAATAATTTATCTTTTACGTAAACTTAGTTTTATGGCTAACAAGTGTCAAATCTAATAAAGAAAAGTACAGAAATAATTTTTAACAGTCAGAACATCTACTCTTAGAACTTGAGAATTACCACAAAATCTGAAAATTTTTATGAAGAAACTCAAACTTTCTAATCCCTATGTCTTTGTAACCTGATTTAATTGTAATCGAATCGAATCAAATCAAATCAACCTTAAAGAAAATTTGAGTAAATGGTAAAAATTTCAATTCTTCTCAAAATTGCTTGTTCTAAAAATTTGATGTTCTTACACTATGCCAAAATATGACAAATTATGCCAAATTATGCCAAATTATGTCAAATTATGCCAAATTATGCCAAATTATGACACTGAAGGAAAAATCTGAGCAAATAAATTTTGTTTTTGATTCGTTTTCATCTTTGGATAAATAATATATTCTAATAAATGAAAACTTTTGCGTAATAAAATTTTGTTATATTGGGAGTTCACAGTATTTAAAAGACCTAAATCCTCACAGACGAACCAAGCAATGTCCCAACACTAGCAATATCTATTTTTAAAGAAAAAAAATACCTGTTTTGTATTTAGAATAACGCTATTAACAAGTGATCCACTGCTACTGCTTTCCTGCATCATAGTGCTTCCACTTCCACTCATTGTATTGCTGGTGATCATAGAGGCAGCTGGAACACTTTGGGAAGTATTGTTTGATGTGTCTTCACCATCAGGAATACTTTCATCTACTCCATCTAGAACCTCTATAGAGCTAGGACTAGTCTGTTTTCTTTCCTACAGATACATATAATTATATATATATAATTCATTCTTGGAGAGTTACCACTGTCGACGTCGTATATATATCAATACGACTTGGAGAGTTACCACAGTCGACGTCGTATATATCAATACGACTTGGAGAGTTACCACAGTCGACGTCGTATATATCAATACGATGAAGAAGACTTTCTTTTCCAATTTTGATTTCTAACAGCAGAAACACTTTAACAATTAAACAAAGAGAAGTGGTCAATTAACAGCTTCTCTTTGTTTACTTCGTAAGTAATTTGAACAATGCTTGTTTGGGATCAAAGCTTTCTTAATAAAAAGACGTCTTCATTGTATTGATATAATCGCCGACCACTGTCCTTTTCAGAGAAAAGGGACTGTAAGCGTAATACCTCCCCCACATTGTAGACTTTAAAATTTAAGAGTAGTAAAAAGATTAAAAGTAATTAAAAAGTAATTTTCAGAAGACATGGGGAGATATCTGGAGACAATGAACGATCCAAAATAAGTGTATTCTTCTTCTCTTCAGATTGGTTTAAAAAACTGGTGAATTTATCATTTCATGGCAAGAGAGATACAATAAAACGCAAAATTAAATTTGTCCAAATTAATATAGGATTTCATTTAAAATCAGAGAACAATAAGTTTTATATTGATTGGATTAGGGTGAAAATAGAATTAATTAAAAAGAACTTATACGAAGAAAAAAATAATAGATGCGCCTTCAATTTAACTTTCTTAAGAAAAATGTGTGAAGAAAAACATCGATTCTAGAGTAAAACCTTAAACATGCTTTTATTATGTAATAAGTCAGTCAAAACGTGTCATTTGTCGTTCTAACAGAACGTTGCAGAAACTTTATAGGAAGCTTTGCTGAAGCTTTATAGGCACCTATGCAAAAGCTTTATAGGCAGCTTTGCAGAAGCTTTATAGGCAGCTTTGCAGAAGATGTATAAGCAGCTTTGCAGAATTTTTAAAGGCAACTTTGCAGAATTTTTAAAGGCAGCTTTGCAGAAGCTTTATAGACAGCTTTGCAGAAGATTTATAGACAGCTTTGCAGAAGCTTTATAGGCAGCTTTGCAGAAGATTTATAAGCAGCTTTGCAGAATTTTTAAAGGCAGCTTTGCAGAAGCTTTATAGGCAGCTTTGCAGAAGATTTATAGACAGCTTTGCAGAAGCTTTATAGGCAGCTTTGCAGAAGCTTTATAGGCAGCTTTGCAGAATTTTTAAAGGCAACTTTGCAGAATTTTTAAAGGCAGCTTTGCAGAAGCTTTATAGGCAGCTTTGCAGAAGCTGTAGAGGCACCTGTGCAGAAGCTTTATAGGCAGCTTTGCAGAAGCTTTATAGACAGCTTTGTAGAAGCTTTATAGGCAGCTTTGCAGAAGCATGAAGAGGGGGAAAAAGGAGGAATGTGAGCCGATGTCTCCTGTTATAACCAAAAAAGTGAACACTAATGTAAAAAAATTTTAAAAAATGATCACCTCTGAAGCTGAACTTTCTGTATTCAGTGTCTCTATACTATTGTCAGAGATAACAGATATATCGCTGCTTGATTCAGATCTAAATATATTATGAAACATTGCTGGATTCAGATACAAATATACAATATATTGCTGCTGGATTCAGATCTAAATATATTATAAATAACACTGCTGAATTCAGATCTAAAATATATTATGAAACATTGGTGGATTCAAATCTTAATATATTATATATCACTGTTTGATTCAGATCTAAATATATTATAAAACATTGCTAGATTTAGATCTAAATATATTATATAAGATTGGTTGAATTAGATCTAAATATATTATGAAATATTGCTGGATTCAGATATAAATATGTTATCACTTCTCAATTCAGATCTAAATATATTATTAAACATTGCTGGATTCAGATCTAAATTTATTTATCATAACTCAGGAACCCTTTAAACAATTTGCCTCAAATTTTGATTGGGGAACTCGGGAGGCCCGCCGGGAATGTTCTTAGCTTGGTTTTAAAATTCCAAGCTAAGTGGGTCGACTTTTATAGCGAAAAGTTAGTTTGCCAGTAAAATCGTTAAAGAGCGGGTAAATGGCGGGACTAACTTTTAGTAACCTTGGCAGCAGAAACCTTCCCTGGGGTCACGCCAGGTCCCACACAAAATTTGGGCCCGAGCGGTTAAGCGGTTTTGACGTTTATTGGATTCAAACAAACAGATAGACAATCAAAGTATATATATCATATATCACTGCTGGATTCAGATCTAAATATATTATATTATAAATCACTACTGGATTCAGATCTTAATATATTATATATCACTACTGGATTCAGATCTAAATATATATCAATTATTCATTTAAATCTAAGATTAAATCATTGCGCGAGACACCATGAGTTGAATTTTTAAAACTAAAATCATGAATATCTTTTAGGAAGGCTATGTTTTTTACTTAAATAGTTTCCAAACTTAGAATTTAAGAAATTAAGATAATAGTTCAAACTGATAAAAAGTTAAAATAATTTTTTTTTTTAGTTTTCTTCACCTTAGTTTTTCAATGCTCCGGTTTTTCTCCAAACTGCTTTCTCTAATCTCATTTACAGATCAAATAATATTCCTTGATAATAAAGATTTTTGTATTCATTTTCATTTATGGCAGATCATCCTTTTTTAACACTCGACCCTTCAGCATCCTCCTTATTACCAGGATGCCAAAAAGGAAAATTTTAATTTGTTTAATTTGTTTTTATTTATCGTTATTTATTGTTATTTATTGTTATTTATTGCTATTTATTGCTATTTATTGTTATTTATTGTTATTTATTTTAAAGGGACTATATA